TGAGGACCTAATGTCGGGGGTTTAAGTGAAGAGAAAATGTTTTGAGAATGATGTACAAATGCGCTTTACACAATTGATGTGTGTATGGATTGCGATAATAGTTCTATGAGCCCCTAATAAAATGTTTAAAAAAAAAAGAGTAGAAAGCCTTGTCTTTCTTCTGAGGAGCTGGCTGGTGGTTTTGAACTGGTGACCTTGCAGTTAGCAGCCTAACACATAACCATGCCGCTGCCAGGTGTCCTAAAGAAAGCAGCAAATAATAACAACAGATTAAAAATAGGTCAAAAGAGAAATAAGAGGTTAAAATGTAATCTAATTATATGTGCATTAATTTAGTTTATGATGCACTCTGTTGAGGGCAAGGCTATTTAGATCCCTAGTCAACGGTCCAAAGGAATTCAATGGCCTTCATCTGCATGGGAACGCTGCAAATGGATTTTGGGCTTTCACTGTCATCCATTGCTTTCTGCTCTGGGCACTCATAATTTAAGTTCTAATACAGTTTCCTCCATTGGTCTTACATTATTTATAATCCTTAGATCACATAGACTGGCGTACTTCTGTGTGAATTTAGCCAACACCTCACTTAGATGTTAACCTACCTTTTTAAAATTAACAATACACTGTCAAAATCTTTCCACACATTGTCTAGATATTCTTTTAAAAAATCTATTATAATTGTGATAAATGCAGATTATTGGAGGTAAATGGAAATGGCATGTGCAGTACAGTCTTAATTGCATGAAGATTTGGGAAGAATGGTTCAAAATTTGCCTCATAGGAAAAATGTGAAACTCATATAGGCATTGTTAGGTGTTGAGTTGTCTTTGACTCAGTGATCCCATGTGCAACAGAACACTTCCTGGTCCAGACCTTCCTCGCCTTCCTTACTTTGTTTAAACCTATTGTAGCCACTGTGTTGATCCATATCCTTGAGGGCATTAGGGCATTCTTCTGTTTCACTAACCCTCTCCCAAGTATGATGCCCATGTCTAGGGACTGATCCCTCTTGATAACATGTCTAAAGAATATCTGATGAAGTTTTGCCATCTTTGCTTCTAAGGAACATTCTAGCTGTACATCTAAAACAGATTTTTTTCTCCTGGTAGCCAGGGTACTTTCAGTATTTTTTTACCATCATCATAATTCCAAGACATCAATACTTCTTTTGCCTTTCTTAGTCACTGTCCAGCTTTTACATGGTTATTTTCCAGAAATTCCAGATTCACTGCCAGTGAATCAATTCTGACTCTGTAGGACAGAGTACAATTGCCCCTGTGGGTTTCTTAGGCTGTAAATCTTTACAAGAATAGAAAGCCTCATCCTTTCCCTACAAAGTGGCTGGATTCAGACTGCTGACTTTGTGGTTAGTCGCCCAGTGTGTAATCTACTATATCACTCGGGCTCCTTTGCATGTTACTAGGAGATTGAAAATAACCATGAAGACCAGACAAGAATTAAATAAAATAATTCAAATTAAGGTGTTGATGAAGAATATTGAAAGTACCATGGACTGCCAAAAGAACAAACAAATCTGTCTTGCAACAAGAATGCTCCT